CTTACACTTTGGTCTACGTAAACAGCTGAGGGCTACTCTATTGCACGCTTGAGAATATATACTTGCCAGCTATTGTGGGCCGCGTCCCTCATGACAATCTTTTGTGTTTTCTCTTCTGTAGGTATGACCACGCTCGCAAGCTCAAATTCAATGCAATAGACAATGGAGTAGATCGCACGAGTTACGTAAAGCCTTACAAGTTGAATAAAGATGGTCTGCCCCTCAATCCACAAGGCCGCACTGGTATGACTGGTAGAGGAAGCCTTGGCAGATGGGGCCCCAACCACGCCGCCGATCCTATTGTGACACGGTTAGTTGCTATTTTTGATTTGCTTACTATTCCCCTTTAAGCCATAACTGTTTGTTCGTTCCATGATTAATCTATTTTCTTGCTGTACCGAGTATTCATAATTAGCTTTATTGTTACACTAAGTTGTTTGATTAACTTCGTCTCGGGTGATGAGCAGCCCCATCTATGGGCATGTCAGGTAAATAACGAGCCACTTTCAGAACATTTGCTTCGATTGACGAGCTTCCGCTCAGTTAACGAGCTGTCAGTGCATGTGTGTGTCTGCGTCCGTCGTTGAATCTTGCTTCCAGGACGTGGGTCCTCGGTTACCTGCAGCCAATCACTGAACTGAGAGCTGTTTTATTGGCTCTGTTTCGTAAGAAGAGCGTTTCACATGACGAGCTGGCTGCCGGAACCGATTAAACTCGTTAACCGAGGTTCCAAACTACTGTCTAAATCTGATTTGACCGACGGCTAATGCGGTTAACGATCTGCGACCTTGGGTCAGGCCCCACAACACCGTTTAACTTGTGTTATAGTTTTAGGCGCCAACGACTGTCGTATCCAGCATCACTTCCTTATCCTTAACCGCTCAAAAGTCTGTCGCCGCGGATACAAGAGTTATTCCGCAAACGAATACGTCATGTTATTCGTTCAGACGGCTGTCCAGCTGGCAACTCAGACGAGCCAAGTTAGAGGAAACAGTCGGCTGTCCATCCCCTTCAGAAGAGGAAGGGGTATTTTCAACGCTGTGAGGTCCCCTCGTGCCCAGCACTAACAGCATTCAGTCCAAATTTATCAGTTTTGACAACTGTTTGTGTTAAAAATTACTTTTTCTTGAGAGACGTAAAAGCAAGACAATACAGTGGACGCAGTCATACTCCGAGATAATGAGTTCTTTTTTCTAAGGGAACTAGAAGCGTTAGCGCAGGAATTTTGTTTGCTGCGTAACTAGGGAACACCTGAAACTGACTGTGTTCTTCACGAAAGCCAGTCGCTTTAGCCAAGGACTCGCTGTTTACCATATTCTCTAAACCTCGTTCCGTTTAGTTGTCCATATGCCTTGATTCTGTTTTCTAGTTTTAAAAGTATGCTGTAATTTTTGGAGACCTCTAAGTAATGATTTTTCTCAACAAACTCGAGTGTTGCAGCGGAAAGGAAGAAATATGCAGTAAATGTGCTAGATCATTAAATGTTAACCGAAATTCGAAGTATTATGTACCATTATCCTAAGTTATTTTAGTCACATCAGGATACCGATCTTTGAACGAAATCCTTTACTGTCCCTTCAAAAAGCGGCACTTTGTAAGAAACGGTTGCTTTTCTAGTATGTCTCTTCCCATTGTTTTTCGGTTTCCCTATAAATTTAAATGTATTTTATGCAAACCGTGTATGAGATATTTTTTATTCTACTCCTTTGGTAGCAAATTATATCTCCAAAAGTTATAGGTGAATGGGTCGTTTCTGACATCGACATACGTCCACATGCTTCCATTCCTAAATGTAGCATAGAACGTCTCCCTCATCACCATCAGTGT